CAAATAGTTGAAGATCTAAGTCAGCAGTTTTGAAACTGTGAGGTTGCAGAGGAAGAGATGGGAGGCATCATCTGCTTGAGATGAAAGGGACAGGTGCATGCTGGTGTTCTGAAAATGACAGGAAGTTAAATATTGTAGTTTGGTTGTTGATTTTCAGTCCACTTTACAACAGGGTTAACCGTTGCAGTGGTTGTGGCACACCAAGAATGCCGGATTCATTTCAGAAGTGGCGTGTGTAGTGGTAGATAGACTGGAGAATTCAGATGAACAAGTAGCCTACCAGTTCATGTAAAAACAAAGCCAGCTGAGTTTGCGTTGCATCCAATTAGTCTGGTTCCTGGCTTCAAATGAGACTAAATGTTAAACACAATTTCTCTTTACTGTCCCTAAATATAAAATTCTGTTTTGCCCCAGCATGTGGGCTGACGCTAACAGCTAGCTACATTAGGCGTGAAATGTGCTAACACCAAGTTCAACAGGCTATCCTGCAAAATAAACAGTAAAGCAACATAAAAATGATGGGTTCCAGCTTTGATTCAAGTTTGGGGTCAGTATTGATCCATTCTTGAGCTTCAGTTTGGTTCACTGGCCTTTGTCTGTAAAACAAATTCTCCTAGTTGAGAGGCTACAACTGTCAAATGTTTGGCATGTTTGAAAAAGAATTACTAAAACGATTAAACAGTTATCAAAGTAGTCAATTTTCTGTTGACTGACTAACTCGATGAATGTACAGCATATTACCAGGCTTTATCGCAGAGGGTATGGTTGAAGTTTCAGTTTAGTTATGTAACACTTTCGGTAGGCATAGCAAAAAGACTTCCTGCCGATATCGGTTCCAGATCAGAAGATCTTTACAGGTTTGTGTTTGGAGGGCAGTTTCTATAATGTCGTCATAAAATTTGATGATTGGTTCATTTTAAACATTTTGTGCTGCACTAGGCGCAGAGCATATTAGGCATATTGAGCAAACTACAGTTTTGTGGCCTGTGTAAAGAGTATATCCTTGAACAGGAGAGGCTGTATGGAATTGAATGTGCTGAAGAAGCCAAAGGATACTGTGCGTCTATCTAAGATACTTTGTTTACAATGTTGCGCTGTCACAGTCTTGTGGACCTCACATGTCTCGGAGTACAAAGAGATTCTTGGACGTCTGAGCAGGAATCACTTTGAAGTTGATGTCAGCGATGTTGCTGAGGTCTAACGGAGCAAAGAAATTAGGTCAATCAAGTAAGAGATGACCCAAGGGAGTGCTGAACCAAGACATCCACCAAGTTAGCAGGACAAGGAGCATCTGGTGGTTCTGCATCCAAGGCAAAAGACTGGTGAGATAAAAAGACTGGGGGGACTGAATCATTGTTGAGTGCTTCCGTGATGACAAGAAACACAAACTACAAAGATATCAGAAGGGTCGAGGGTTGGCTCCATGAGAAAATGAGTAATTCTGTTTTATTTGAAACCGACACAGCCAGATGTGAAACAGAACAGGAAGGAAGGCGGTAGAAATGGGAACAGCTCAGCAATCAAATGCGGAGGGAACAATTTGGAGAGAGATCAGTCCGTGGAGGTAGAAGATGATGGAGGAAGTGTTGGGTGAAGTTGTCATAGGACACCATCTAGTCTCAAAGCAGGTGACAAAGCCCTCATGGAAATACAGGAAGGGGAAGGGGAAGGTGAAGGGAGATTTAGGATAGAGTACACAGACAAGAGTAAAAATGAATGGTAGAAGCAAGATGAATGGATGGATGGATGTGGAGGAGAAAGGCTGGACGCTTGCTTGTACACTTGATTCACCGGGATTCAGACAACTAAGAGGCAGATGAGGAAAGACAGGAAAGAGGACAGAAATAAATATTCAGATACTCAGAGAGATAGAAATTAAATGTCAAAGTCTGTAGACAGTTGGAGGAAAGACACGAGTGAAGAGAATAAAAAAAGAGAAGAAAGTAGCGCTCAACCACAGAGAAAGACCTTTGGTATTTTCATGGTGAGAATATAAAGTACAGCAAAGACATGATTTTGAGATAAGTTGATATCTTTTTTTATTAGCAGTAATTCTGAACCAATGAGAATATAGAGTACTTCATTAATGCCAATGGTACATTTCAGTCACACAGCATACTGCAAGGACACTCAATGAGGTGGATAAGCAATAAAACGATATAGTGAGCTATTTTAGAAATACAACTACCGTGGTGGTCTGGCTCAAATTTAAAGGAATCTTTTGTAATCTTACAGAGGGGGGGCCTAAGAGCTTTGTAAGTGTTTTAAGGGTGTAGACTAAAACCACAAAAAGGAAATGTAATAACAAAGAATCACTATTCACCTTCGGTTTTATGGTTATGGTCATGTAGCAGTAAAGGTGGCTGGGGATGTTGATATTGTAACTGATCCTTTGTCCTCATTTTTATTTCCATTGAGAAGGGTGAGCTCATGTTGGTTGTGTGGTGGGTTCTATAAATAGTCATAGTATCAGTGAGGACAATAGATATTTGTGTTTACATGTAAAAGACGTGACATACACCAACAGGTCCTCATGGGTATCTGTTTGGTGGTGGGTGTATTTAAAGTTCTTCTTCGTGTTCCTACAGTTGGATGTCTGAGCTTCACTGTGCAGAATGATGCATGTGCAGAGTTTGACACTAGAAGGATGTTTTCACATTCATCTGCTGAAAGTGGAAATTGATTTTAAGGGGCGGGGCCTACGAGCATGATTTGTGACATCACAAATAGTTTGGAGGTCGGACCTGGTCCAGTATGCAACTTGTACAGTGTGATCAGTGCACATACACTGAGAAAGTAGGATACATCTTGTGTCCAGCAGGAAATAATAGAAATAAACATTTGCATATTTAAAGATTCTGATATTTTACATGAGGTGGAACGAGTAAATGTCTTTTTAAGGATTTTAATGTGGAAATTATACTTTATTTGTTGAGAAAACATATCAGACACACATAGTTGATCCAAGTAGTTTGTTTAATACATGTCTAGAGGGGATCGCTTAAATTTTCTTTTACATGGTGTAACTAGGCCTGACCTCTCAATAAAAAGGGCATATTATACATGTCGATATATCTTACTTACTACCAGTGTCTAACTGACACACAGAGACTAAATTGGAGAAACTCTCAAATAATACAGATTAATCTATCATTATTGATGCTTTGCTGTGCTAAAAAAAACCAATATGAAACATATTGCAGAATGATTGTTTTATCATCATTATTATTTTTATACCATTACTATGTTAACTGCATCAGTAAAATGTGTGCCAATGTTAAAAAAAAATGTTATTCAAATGAGTCGTCACTCACAATCATCCAAGCCAGAGGCAGCATAATTGTCGATATGAAGCCCCACCAGACCTGTTCTGCATACAAATGTGAAAAGATAGATATATACAGAATTCATTTGTAGAACATGTATGGCAGTTTTAGACAACACTCTAGATATTTGTGCTCTGGAAGTCGGTGAGTAATGCTTCTGAAGATGTTATCTAAAAAGTTATGTTATTATATTATCAGTGGTTACTGGCAGTTTTTTATGCTGGAACAGATATTCATTCCTTTAAAATTACATTGTATTTCCATGACTAGACACACAAGATGTAGACAAAATAACAAAAACACTACTGTACATTAAAAATGACCTAAATCACCATCACTGCCAAACTAAACTATACTCTATATGTCTGTCATGGTGAGTGCAGTGCAGTTTGTGTTTTCCATATTATTGTATTTTCTCAGAAAATACAAATTCCTATTATTGTACCGCTGTATTAGTTTGTTAATGCCTGAAGCAACATAGATGCATGTTACCCAAGATTAGGCTATTTCTTCAAGCGTGGTACCCAAAAGCTCTTGATGACGTTAGTGGTTTGTGGTGGCTAGTTCAGACTAGATGTGGCTTCAAGTATGTCCACCTTTAAGCCTAATTACCACTGACAAATAATACTGATGTGTGGTTGAGTCACCACCACTTGTCTGCCTCTCTGCTGTAGTCATACAGTGGCTTCTGAATGACTGAGTAGAGTTTGTGCGTGGCATGCATTATTTTGGAGCTCGTGCCTCTGCTAGAATTAACCAAAATCCCCCTCCTCCCTCTTTCTTTATCTCTCCTCTCTATTTTTGTGGACACCTCATAGATATTTTTCTTCATCTGGAAAGAAACCTTAATCTGGAACATTCCCCTGTGGGTCATGAGTGTGTGTGTTTATGAACAAAAACCACATATTCTAACAAAGACCTTGCAATGAGGAAAAATGACTCACCAACACAGAATTTGATAAAAAAAATAACTGGATACCTGATGGTTGATTCCCAGGCATGACACACGGAGCTAATGTTGTGTCTACTGAGTATGATAATGTATGATATGGTGCAACGCTGATTCATTGTGTGCTTGAAGTGTGGTGTAAGCATGTGTGTGCATGCATCTGCTCAGAGGATGCACATGTAGCTGACTTGCTTATTCACTCCAGAATGACGCATGGGGTTAAGAAGCCTGCACACGCATACACACACAACACACAATGTGATGCTCCTACAGTAGGATTATGCAAGTAAACCTGTGAGTTCAATCTGTGGCTGGCTGCTAATACCTTCTAAAGTGGACAGGTCCAATCTGGGCTGCTAATACTGCATGTAAATATCCAGGTTTGCAGTGTAGGAGAAGCAGTCAAGAAATCCGTTGTAAAAAATCCAGATATTTGTTGTTTTGGGAAGCCATTTCTTGTTTACTCCAGACTTGTAAGAGGAAATACTTGTCTTATTGCTCTCTGGATTATTATATCTGTAAGAGGGAGGTAAGAAAGAAGATTAAAGTCGGTCAAGTGCAACAGGGTCAGACAGGTCGTGTAAGAGAAAAGCAATATGCCAATATGCTTCTGGATATCAATGGTAAAATGGTAAGAAGTGTTCACTGTTTTGTTTGCATTGCGTGTGTGTTTTCTGTGCTCTGTGTGTGACAGTGATTCACACAGTCTTATGTGTTGTTTGCAGGTTTCAGCTACAGAAGAATGTGTAGGACCTATGAGACTGACTCAAGAGCCAATTCAGGTAAGAGTAAAAGAGGAATATTGTTGTTGTTGTTTTGCAAAAAGCTGATTAGAAAATATGAGTATTTATTCCCTTTTTGTTGTCTGTACAATAACTGTTTAACAATAACAGCAAGGTTGAGTTTTATCATAAATGTAGGGCTCGATTAATTGCTTAGTCTGTGAAACCTTAAAAAAATTGTCAAATACCAATGCCAGCTTTGCAGAACTAAAGGTGATGTCTTCAGATGTGTTGTTTGTTCGGCCAAAAGTCCAAAAACATTCGACTTAGAATGATATGTTATTCAAGAAAAGCAGCAAATCCTCTCATTTAAGAGTCTGGAATCAGAGAATATTTGGCATTGTTTCACTATTTTACTGCATGAAAAATGTCAAAAACAATGAACTGATTATCAAAATGATTTTGCAGATTATCTTTCTGTCAATCGACTAATTGGTTAATTGACTAATGGGCTTAATTGTTTCAGCTCTACATGAATGATAATAATTTGTTATTTCTTGCAAAATGATGATGATTTCTAATCTGTTGTTACTGTTACTATGTGTGCTTTGTGTTCTTTGGTTCGATAGAAATGTGGCACTCAATAGTAATTCCAGTTAAAGGAATGATACGATCTGAATAAAAAATTGATTTAAAAATTGTATCAATGCAACTCTCCTACTTTCAAATCTCCAGCTGTTTATATAGTACTTGTTTACATACACTTTGTCATTGTTTGCACTCTATTTTCCGTTTTCACTGGAATTTTCTGCAAATATGATCTTTCTTCTTGGAAAAACAGTCACATCAACTGTTTTTAGACGGAACTTGGCTTGAAGTCTGCTGGAAATGGTTTTGCTAACCAAAATATTTTCCACCTCCTCTCTTGTATTGTTTACATGAGCTAATAATACTATTTTAAAGAATTGGTTCACAATTTTATTTGTCAGGTGCTTATATGACCATTGAAAGAGGTTTTACTGTAAGCCTTCCTCTCGTTCATACTGGACAATAAGAGATCCCTTCATAATGTGATTCCAACGTAAGTGATTGTTCACTAAATCCTCAGCGCTTGTTCTTTGCAAAAATGTATTCAGCAGCTTACGTGAAGCTACAATGAGGCTTCAGCAGTCTGAGTTAGTAAGACAAAATTCCCTCTTGAAAAAATCAACATCTCAGTAGCTTGTTTTGTGTTGATTTAAAATGCAAAAATACAAATTATGGCTAGATTTGGATCTTCCGCTTCATCTTGTAATATGGAATCAATCAATCCTAAAAGCCATATTACACTGTATGACCTATCATTGTATACCTCAGACTGCCTGCAAACACCTTGTCTGTACTCTGTGGTGTCAGTCCAGCTGGGATCTCGTCTTCTCCAACAAGAACTTTGGGAATATAGCAGGGTTAGGTAGAGTTGACTCAAGGATTGTCTGTACTCATCCTCTGGTTGCGGATTAGGCCATGTGCTGGTCAGATTTATCCTTATGTAACAAAGAAAGAAGAGTTCCTGGAGGTTACCAGCTGGTTGTGATGCAGGTACCACAAAGCATTCCTCTGTTCTGGCAGTTCCTACCTCAAGAATCAGCTTCTTTATTAGGTGCTTGTTTATTGCTTTGATTTAATTTGCTCCGGTCTAAGCTGCGTTGGTTTGACCGATCTCCAGGGTTTTCTGAGTTCAGCTCAGTTCCAGTGCAGTGATGTGAGAGGCCTGGCATGCCACTCATGTTCATGCCGAGCTACAGTATCCTGCTCTATCCCTTCGCCGCCCTCCTCCTCCTCCTCCTTATTCACCATGCCAAATAACATCACACCAGGAATCTGTGGCGGTGTGCAGGCAGGTGGAGGGACCAGGGGCTTTATTAAAAAGCCTTCTAAGATCTCGTCTCATGCCCCATAAAACCCTTAAACTGCTCTCTCAAAGCAGCCCCGCTAAAGTTGTACCTACAGCCTTCTGCTGGATCCATGACCTGACCGGCCCCTCTCCTGCTTCACTCCTTCCAGAATGGAGAGATGAAAAGAGAGAGATAAAATGCTCTGCAGGAGAGAGTTATATATAGTGAGTTTTCCTTGACATTTACTGTTACTGCCTTACAGCCCTGGAGAGTTTCAACCTCTCCAGATACCTCCTCCTTCAGCTTATCTAATGATTCATGTGTTTCACTCATTACACCGATAACTGCATGTAAAGTAACACACATGTCCCATACGTGTAGCTGCAGTATATATTTTAGAAGAATTCAATAGTTTTGTCATTCTGCTACTTTTAACCTTTTAGTAGCCAGTGTTGTTACTGCAGTATGAAAGCACTATGCAGACCTTTCACTGACTACCAGTACCTTACATGAATGTGAACATGTAATTACTGTGAAACTATTAGGTCAGTTAGTAGATTAACAGAAAATGTATTGGCTAAACATTTTATATTTGTTTAATAGTTTTAAGTCATTTTTAAAATGCCACAAATTCACTGGTTCCCGGCTGGTTTTCTTATTGTTGGATGACATAACTCCTGCATATCTTTGGTTTTAGACTGTTGATTGAAGAAAACAAACAACTGGACGTGTCAACTTGGACTCTGGATTCTGGATATTTTTCTTTTTTTTCTTTTTTTTTTAGAGGCAGCCTAGAGTCTCATCTTTTAGGTTATTGTGGTCATTTTTTAAAAGAACACTGACATAAAAATCATCCAGCTGCACGGCTTCAGCTCCTTCAAAGCATTCTGCCAGTCCAACTATGTAATAAATTCTTGTACACTTTATGTCCGACATCATAATGGTTTACAACAAATGGTCCATTTGTTTTAATTTCGGTGGTCTACCCACAAAGGGGGGTGGGTGTTCAAGGGTTATCAGCTTGATATATATTTAAAGTGCTTTGTATTCTGTACAGTTTGTGTGCTGCAAAACGTTTTACTCATGTGGCCTTTTTATAAAACATTTGAAACTGAAAGTCCATTCTTGACTTAAAGAAATAATCTTAACTTACTATCTTATATGTAGGTTTCAAAGAGTGCTACAAGTAACGATTATTTTCATTATCAGTTAATCTGGCAATTATCTAATGGATTTCTATAAAATGTTGAAAAATAGTGAACAATTCCTATCACATCCTTCAGTCCAAGTTAACATATTCAATTTGCTTGTCTTATCCAATAAATTAAATATTTGGGTTTGTGTTTTGGCATTACAAATGTTAAAAAAACTACCCTTCCGGATCATTTCAGCTCTACTCCAGAAAAAGCTAGTAAGTGGACTTTGAGCATTAGGCACATAAAATGTACCAATTGTGCAATGAATAAGACAAATTATGTACAATTCAGTTCATATTTTAGTTCTCGCACATCAGTCCCATTGATAGGCGCGTCACATCAAAAACTGGGCATAAAAACTTCCTGACACTGGATCTCAACGGCCCTTCTTCATATACGCTCAGACTCTGTTACACTCCCACACAGATAGTGTGCTCAAAGCTAGTTAGCCCAATGACACCCCTCTGTGTTTGGGAATCTCCCAACGTTAGATGGCATCCGGCCTGGTTGTGCAAACATGGCGGATTAACCTCTGAACTCTGAAAATGTGAGTCAGCTCTTGGCGGTAGCAGTCGGGGATAAGTCTCTGTGCTAACTGAACACTAACTGTACGGTATTATACAAACCAGGACCAGGCCAATAAGTGACACTGTTTGTGAGGCTAAATACATGTATGTTCAAATTTAAATTATGTATTTACGTTAAAGACACTGTAACCGGGTAATTGTATAAACATACATTCATTTGTGTACCATAACAGTGAGTTACGTTCAAGGAAGTGTGTGTGTAAGACAGGTATGATGGCGGCGTGATGAAGTGCTGCCATGTGTTTAAATGTGTTTGACTGTGTGTGTACATCAGACGGGGGATTTTAGACCAACGGCGCCTCCTGCCAGGCTCATCGTTGGTGACATATTTGGGTGGCAGGTCAGAGATCTGTGCGGTCGGCGTCGTCCCGGGGTCGACTGGGTACTGTGTGTGTGGAATTTCACATGTTAGCACCATGGTTACACAAAGCAGTGCCATGGTTACACAAGCCAGCACGGGATCAAAGACTGTGGACCTTTCACAGGCACTCACCAATACTAGCTCATTTTCTCCCTTCTTCTTCTTTTACATCGTCTTCTCATGCCATTCTCACCTGTTCTTTTCCATACTTTCTGTCCGTCCTGTCTCCAGGTGGGAAAGGCTGCATAAGATTCATGACACACTATGAACTACTCTCCTCCTGGTTTTAAAACTATACAGGAAGTGTGGGGAGTCATGACTTTAGGGCTCTCCTTCACCCACTCACTCATTCTGTTTTCCCCCTCTCTCTCTCTCTCTCTCTCTCTCTCTCTCTGTCTCTCTGCCTGCTCCACCTTCATGCACTCCCTCTGTCACTCTATCCTTTGTTGTCCTTAGAGGGAGTCAGGAGGTGATGCTGCTGCGAGGCAGAGCTGAGTACTGTTGGTTCTGGCTGCACACCAGCTGTTTGTGCGTGTGTGTGTGTGTGTGTGTGTGTGAGAGAGAGAGAGAGCATGTGTGTCTTTACTGTATGCGTGCTGTATTTCCTCACCACTGTACCAAAGGTGGCTGGTGTGTTTGTGGTCAAAACACAGTGTGGGATCAAAAACACGAGTCCGCGCTCTGCAGGCTTCGTGTCTGTTGGTGTGGAACTGTGCTGCTCAGTCAGTGTTGAAGGAATCATTCACTGGGAGAAGACATTGTGTCGTTTACATGGTCTGTTTAGTATTTTATCCGCATTTTTAAAATTATTTTTATTATGGAGGGGGCTGGACACTTGCAATGAGAAAAAAAGGCAGAGAGGCGCCCTACAAGCAGATGGGTGAACACGCTCACAGTTATAGACAAATCCCCTGAGCTGTGCATGTCATGAGACTGTGGGCCGAAATCCACATATGATGCAAACTCCACGAAGGGCAAATCCTCCCTCTGCCTCCTCACGGCGAGAGGATTTTATGTCTTTTCTATAATTAAAAACATTTGATTGCATCTTGAGAGGTTCCATAAGAGATGGTGTTCTGTGATTACTTATGTTGAGTCACTTACCTCCCTGAGCTCAGTCTAATAATTGGTAGCTCATCCAGCCGGATTTTTATTGTCAACAGTTCCTCTTGAAGGAATTAAATATTAAAACATTTAGTTTGTTTTAGTTTTCTTTTTTGCCTTTGTCCTTTTTAAATGTATGTATTTATCTCGTGAAGGGGGAGTTATCAAGTTGCAGTGTTTAATATGATGTTAGCAGCTGAAAAGGTACAAAAACAGAACATGTTATTGTGCTATTAATATTGTTGCTGTCACTGAATATACATATTTCCAGAATAAAAATACTTGGAAAAGATTCATAACCCGGACAACCAAGCTAACCACTTGCTAGGGTGAAATCTATTCTTCACCAGCATCTCTATATTGGATTTTCTCAAACATTATTTGTATTTATTTCTCTGTCAGTGAGTTGTTTTGTAAATGTTAAATTCATAACCTTTGATACATCTGATAAGCTCGTAAAAATAAATAAAAGTCATACAGAATGAAGATTTTGCGAATAGCATCATGCAGAACTTTCACAGACTGCTAGTACTATAAAAAGTACTGGTATTTTCCATCGTTGTTGTAAAAATACTGCAGATAAAAAAGCCCCAAAAGGCACATCTCTCTCCCCAAAGCTATCTGGCAGCCCTTTAGTGTAATAAATCCTCATTGTAAGGGTCTAATAATCAGAAATAGTCCACCCTTGAAAGGGGGGTGGATACTAAAGGGTTAAATATCTCTGAGAGGTTTTAATATAATCGCAAATGTACATTTTCTAAGTCATAAAGAAAGGGGTCAGGTAGTTATCGGTATTAATCAGGCCCATAAATATCAGAAACCTCGGTGTCAGAAGTGAAAGCTGTGACTGAAGTCTGGTTCTTGGATGTCTGCTGATCTGGAGAATGTTCTGTCTGAGTAGTGAATGTAGAGTAGACCTACTAACACAGGTATTTCTGTAATTATCACTGTAGTAGCAGCACTGTCTCACCCAGGCGTCCATTCCTTCCTGTCTCCTCAGGTCTTGCTGGTGTTCGCCAAGGAGGACAGCCAGAGCGATGCCTTCTGGTGGGCCTGCGACCGCGCCGGGTTCAGGTGTAACATCGCACGGACGCCCGAGTCAGCCGTTGAGTGTTTCCTGGACAAGCACCATGAGATTATAGTCATTGATGGACGCCACTCGCGCTACTTTGAGCCTGAAGCTGTATGCCGGTGAGCCTCACCTCTGTGTCTGCTGTCACTGTTTGTTTGACTGACAACCTTCATGGTGGCTTAAAGGAATAGTTGGACATTTTGAGAAATACTATTTTTGGCTCTCTTTCTGAAACTTTAAAGATATAATAATTATCATTTCTGCATTAAAATGTCTAAAAATGATAGACATGTTATATATTTTGCTTTGAGTTGTTTTCTTATATTTTCTCAAACTCTCAAACTGGAAGGAGAGCCAGACAAGCCCTTTCCCCATGTCCAGTCTTTGTGCTAATCTAAGCTAACCAACGGCTGACTTTTGTTTCATATTTACTCTACAGACCTGAATGGTATCCACTTTTTAATCTAACTAAACTAATACGCTTATTTCCCAAACTCTCAAACTATTCAAATTGCACAGTGATTTCTTCAAGAACTTGAACTGACACAGTAACCATATAAATGAAGAGACTGAAAGGGCTTTATCGTCCAAAAGGATCCGAACATTTAATCCTTCACTTCAATCAAAAATATACCTGACGTTTATTCCTAAAATCAGTAATATACAGGAATGTCCAGAGTTCAGTCTGTTTAAAACACTGTAGCTTTGGGACACTGTAGTGTAGTGGAGGGCTTGTTGGCGCCATCTGGTGTTCCCTGGAGGCACCACAGGCATCTCCAACCTGAAGCTGCACTCTTGAGTTACTCAAGTCTGTTAGCTTGTGTTCTTACAGTTGCTTAATTCATTGTTTGCTCTAAAAAGAAGCATCAGGGGATACTGGATGTCACAATTCATAAGAGAGTATTGAAACAGAGTGGCTCTTGAGAGGGTCTGAACTACAAATTGTGAGTCTGTTTGTTGACATGAAAGCTCGATAGTGGCCCAGGGGAGCCAAGAGTAATACACATTCAGAAGCTTTTTTCTTTGTTTCTTGTCCATTTTTCCACAGCAAAAACCCCTGGCCACTTTTCAGAAGCCTCTTTGATTGTAGAATAACCTCATTTACTGCTTGTTCTTGCCAGGTGTTAGCTGAGTTCGTACTGGCAATACAGGTCTGTGCTCAGTTTGTCCCCTGTTACTTTTTGGCGTGCACAGGCAATCTCAAGATTTATTCAGGAAGTGTTTGTTCTCTATTTGCACAAAAGTGTTGAACTCACTAACAAATAATAATATAATGACATTTAAATAACCCATCTCTGATTATTCCAAATAGCTAATAAAAACGGGATTTGTTGCTGCTTTTTCACATCTATGAACAAAGGACTTGTGTTTAGGGCATTTGAATGGGGATTCCCGTGACTCAAAGTGTTTAATATGTGTCCCATGGTTTTCTTAATGTGAAGACCTTCTAGGCATCAGAACAAGGATGTCTGTAAAGACCTTTCTGCTGGTGAAATAGTGCATATTCCTCTCTTTTTTAAAAGCAAAGACTACTTTTGTGTTTATTTCTGTCGTGATTTCTGCAGACGTTCGGGCTGAAAGTTATTGTTAGATACAGTGCTAGCCCATCCAGAGTTCTTGGATACACTAAAAGCCACCACCATATATTTTGTGGAGTGATTTATTATAAGTGCTTCGTTATTTCCCCAAGTAAAGGAACAGATCCATTCGTCTCTCCTGTCTCCTGATTACCACAATTTGGCAGCTGCTCCTTGTTTGTCCATCGCTCTTTCACTCCTTTCCTCAACACCATTTTTTTCTTTTTCCCCCCTCCCATCTTTATCCCCCATGAGGATCTCTGCCATCATCTGTTCCCTCTGTTCCTCCTTTCATCCTCCATCACTGTCTTCTTTCCTCCTCCACCCCCGGGCCACTTTCCCGTGCATCCTGCCAGCGGTGTGGCTTTGTGGTCGAACCTCTGAAGCAGATGTTGTGCTTGGTGTTTCTGTGTAAAGCACAGAAATGTTCTGCCCTTCTTTTGTGGCGATGACATCACCCTCACTCTGCCCACATGTTTATCCTGTACCTGAGTCCAAGCCACTTCTCATGAGCTCAAAGTGTGAATGGAATGAACTCCTGTTGACACTCCCGCTGATTTTTTAATCTGTTTGATTTGTTTTATTTCCAGGTTGATCCGCGCCACAAAGCCCTCTGAAAACACAGTTATTCTAGCCGTTGTGCCACAAAAGTAAGTTTTTTATTTGATCTTTTGTAGATTTTAAGATCCTCTTGTTTGACTTAGAAAACTTTAATGTCCTGCAAGAGGCTATTTGTGCTACAGCATAAACATGCAGACACATTAAAAATACATTAGATAAACAGAACAATAGTCTGAGATCCTTATCTGCAGCCATCATAAATGTCATCAGTCCAGGCCGGCTTTTAAAGTGCCTGTCAATAACTGTGTACCAACATCTGTCATAAAGATAAAAATAAATAATTAAGTAGTATAAGCATACTGTCCATGTATTTCCCAGGCTCCCCATGGCTACTGTATGTTGTTTAACTGAGTTATTGCCATGGGTATAAATTCTGATCTTGGGGTATCTATACCTCATGATTTTCGCACGTTTTCACAATTTTTTTTTATGTTTTCCTGTAAGTTATTGTGTGTGGTTAGGCCTAAAGTCCCACAAAATTATGCTTCAGATCTTCTATCTTTAACAACAATTCTTTATTTTGATTTTGAGTTGATGAGAACTTAAAACCGTTTTTTACCCTTGGTCTTGATAAATTCAGTGTAATGTCCGTTTCCACAGCACTAATTCTATCAGCACGGCAAGAGTCATGTCAGGCCTTCCACTAATCATGAATGAAACTCAACACTGCCTCTGGAATTTTCACATTAAAAGCCTTGTAGCTTTCCCCTAGGTAGGCATTTAATGTGTTTTATTGAGGTTAACTCAGGAGTACGGCAAAGAAGAAATGACTGGAGTTAATCGGAAACATTACTTCTGTTAAAAAAGAGAAACTCTGTTGGGTATGACATGGCTCTGCACTGATGGAATCAGTGCTGTGGGACTGTACATTATAATAAGTGTACAATGTGAGCTGTTGTAGGCTGCGTGTAATGTTTTATTACCCGGCTTGTGACAGCGATCAGCCTTGATTTGATGATAATTATTTGATTGGTGAATGGAAGTACGTGACATCAGCTTTTTCCAACTGTGCCCCGCCCACTTCAAACCAGTGGGAAGAACATGAAGTAAAAATAACAGAAATCTCTCATGTGAAAATAACCAAAACTGCTTTAACTTTGGCAGAAAATGCTGTGGAAATGTAAATTCCCATCATAGTAAAAAGCTGGAACAAAATGTTTTCAGGGCCTTTTTAAAGTACATCGTTTTCTATATAGGTGTGGATCACGCCAAGCATGTTTCTGAAAAATGATTGTGGTTGCAGATGGTAATGATTCTTTTCTGTCACTGTATAGACCGGCTGACCAGGACGAGCCATCTGTTCTTCCTCTCCTCTGTGCTGGATTTAGCAGAGTACGTCCAACAACTTGCCTTAGCTTGTGACTGTGTTTATAACGGACTGAATGTGTTATCCTTGTTTCTGATAGATGCTTTTTATTGGCCCTCTAAGAGACTCGAGACACTAAAATAGCAGCATGTTGCCAGTTTTGAAAGAGGCACTTATTGTCAGCGGTGTTTGATGGTGTGAAAATGACGTAGGAGGCTGGAAAACAAGTCGCTACTGAGTAAATCCTGACTCATTCAATTTTCCACTCGTCTCTCTCCCTTCTCCTTCAAACACCACTTAACCTTGTTTGGCCTCCAGAGGTTTGTGGAGAACAGCAGTGTGTCAGCCTGCTACAATGAGCTCATACAGATTGAACATGGGGAGGTGCGCTGCCAGTTCAAACTCAGGTACAGCAGAGGAAAAACACCTCATGAAGCACATACCATGCAATCATACATGCATGCACAGACACTTGTACGAGTTGGTGTTTCTAATGTTGAGTTGGTGTCATTCATCCACAGGGCTTGTAACTCTGTCTTCACTGCTCTGGACCACTGTCAAGAGGCTGTGGAGATCACCAGCGAGGACCATATAATACAGGTAGGGATAATACACACATGCATAAAAGCACATGCATACATACAGAGTCGGTGAGCAAAATCTCAAACCTTTCCTTTAAAGCAGGGGTCTCAAACTCAAATTGGCTTTGGGCCACTGCTGGTATGGTAAAAGTACTACAAGAAAGTGCAATATTCTGGAAATACTTCCATTAATAGCATCATACTTGATGCTATTAATGGAAGTATGTTTCATTATGTTTATCAACCCTTTGATTTAATTTGCACATTTGACCTTTGCTATAATCTTGCACCAAACCAAATTAACTTTTTTAAATAGAATTTAAGTTTTTTATTTTAATCGTATATAAAGGGTATATGAAGCAACTTGAAAAAATTATTTTAAAAATTATTATATTATATTTTGACATCCTGTCTTGGGCCACGGGGAGGGGGGTGGAGGAACGGAAATGGCCCCTGCGTCGGCAGTTAGATAATCCCTGCTTTAAAGATGTACATGGATATATTTTTGTTACTATAAACAAATCCCATGAAAGTACCAAAGACTGGTCCCAAATATATGGTTGTATTTTTTTTATTCTACATCAGCTGGGCACTATGGTTATGAGAAAATGTTAAAAAAATAATAAATTGAGGAACTATTTTCGACTCCAGATCATGGTAAAATAAACTACATATTCACTGTAATGGAGCTTGTGTAATACGCACGCCCCGTGACAACATCAAACACATTTGTACTTTTTACATCCAGGTGAGGCTAAATGTGACAGTGACATGGTATCCTCTAGAGAATAGGCAGGTCTGTTATGCGCTTTGGTGTAATGCTGAATGAAGAAAAAGAACACCCAGTGCGGCGATGGGGCTTATAGATGTGTTTTTAAATAGCTCCATGGCTCAGAAAAACTAGTTATATCATGTCTTGGTTACACAGGCAATACTTGTTATTAGGATCGAATATTACTAGACTTAACGTCATCCTCCTCTTTTTTTCGCAGTATGTGAACCCAGCATTTGAGCGTATGATGGGATACCACAAGGGGGAGCTGATCGGGAAGGAACTGACTGAGCTCCCCAAGAGCGACAAGAACAGAGCTGACCTGCTGGACACCATCAACACCTGCATCAAAAAAGGAAAAGTGAGTCTCTCGTCCATCCATCCGCATACCTATCTGTGAAATGAGACGATACTGTATCAATGCCTGACGGTTCTGTTGTCTCTGAAGGAATGGCAGGGCATTTACTATGCCAGGAAGAAGTCAGGCGACAGTATACAGCAACATGTGAAGATAACACCTGTCATCGGCCAAGGAGGGTAAGCAAAGTTTAATCTACCCAAAGTGATCACAGTTCATTTTCAGGAAGTGAGAAATGACTGACAGATTTTTATCTCGCTGCCAACAGGAAGATTCGACATTTCGTAGCCATCAAGAGACCTCATATTGACAACAATAATCAGGTGAGTCAAGAGATAATCTTAAGTGTTACACATCTCTTTTAGTTTTCTTATGGAAATGATAAATGATAAGCTGTTTAGCTACGCTCTAATACAATCTGGAGGCCTCCTGAGAGCAGGAGAGGTTGTGAACACAAGAGCTTTGACCCTCAAGAGTGGTAATAAAAATCTAGATTTTTGATCATTGACTCATTTGGGTACCTGAGGCAAAAAACAAACAACCTGGACCACCCTTTCTTTGACTGCACTCTTCCAGCCCAAAATGAATAGCGCCTGCACATTAGTAACACTTAAACCACTTACTCACAAATCTGCCCAAAATGTTGATTTGCAGGCTCAAACCTTACAAGCCTAATAAGAGGAAAAATTGCTGCTACAAAATTGAATTTACAAAAGTCTTTAGACTCATAAGCCCTGCTTTTGAAGATTACAGTGAGTTAGTTTTTCTGTTGTGGAGCTTGAACAAATATCAGTCCATCAGCAGTCCTAACGCTACGACACAGCTTGGCCCAATCAAGCCTGGTAGAGAAATGAATGATTGAGTCCAGACTGGACTCGGGCACCCAGATTGCAGACTCTGCTGGCAGTCAGTTTTACATAAATACTTCAAATGAACTGCAGGCTAAAGTGTCAGATTTAAATACTTGAGCGGGGCATGTAGCCTCACAGGCTTCCAGCTCTCTTTAGCAGCGTGCACACTTACTCTGAAGCAGGTGTGTCGCTGCTCTCAGCTGGGTTCCAGGCCAATAACGTCATTCTATGCTAAGCTACAGCTAAGCACCAGGATCCCCCGCTAAGGCCTGGGAGGGCTAGCAGCCAGGCGCCAAGGCTATTTATACCCCAGGCAAAGCTGCACAGAGACTAGCTTTAGCTCGCTGCTGTCTTTCATCGTGTGTGCATAAGGTGAGTCAGCCGTTGGCATGTGCCCGCCAAAGCCAAATGGAATTCATTCCTGCTTGTTGGGATTGGGAATCCTTAGACATGGCAGCGGCTGATCCCATTCTCGAAAACCATGGAGAGTCATCTCCTCAAGCTGAGTTGTGCAGTGTCAAACTGAATGGTATTGTCAGGGTGTCCCATTTTTTTAATGCACTTTCACCACACATTACAGAATGGAACAGATGCAAAGCAGGAACAAAAGTTTAGTATTTGATGACATTTTAATGCAATGACGTCACTCACGAGGCATGTAGAGCATCTTCACTGAGACACCGTTATCCATCTGACAACCCAAGGCCACAGAGGTCCTTTCAGGATAGCACCGACCTGTTACTGTATCCTTGCTTAGAACATTTTCCTCTGAGCACTTTAAACCACACATTATTCCACATCTTTTTCCCACCCAGACGTTTGGCTGTAGACCATGGTTTCCATTTCATTGTGTTGTTTAGTTAGCAGTATTTGTCTAAGCACTCCAGACTTACAGCAGGTTTAGGGTCAGTTTTGTTTGTCTTTCTCTCTCAATTAAGGGCCATCATAATCTCAACTATTTCCCAGCTTTAGTCAAGTTAATTCAAAAGATGTTTTTTTAGATGTCTGTTTGTGCTCTGCAGCCCAAGAAGCCCATTAAGATGTAGCCAGCTAAATCTGGCAACCTTGTATGTCATTAGAAGTGTTTATACTGTCTTAATCCTATTTACTCAGCATGGGACGCACTGGAGACCTGAGAGCAAGCGATAGAAAGTGTGTGTGGGGGGGGGGCTGTAAAAAGAAAAAATTAGCAATTGTGTGTGAGTGAAAAATGAAATGTAATTGACAAACATTTGAAGGACGCATTGCTTTGTATCAAAATGAAATTCTTTGCACAAAAATGTGTACATATACAGAATATTTGGACGTACATCACATAAGTATGTGTGATGCACTGTCAGCAAGATGTAAAGGTGCAGTGAGTCACTGGGTGAGGGAAATCTTCTGTAACTGGATTAGAGGCTCTTCATGTGCATATCTACAATAACCTCTGTGAGACTAACAGGACGTACTGTACAAATTGTCACCTGCATGTTATTATGAACATGGGAGAATATGTTTACACAGTTATAGTAAATGTAGCTCAAAATCAATTTTTAAATATTTTTTTTACGTTGTATTAAGTGTCATTCGTGTGCCATTTAATAGGTCATATTTTTTAAATTGGATGAGAGTAAATATTTTTGTCTCGCATTAGAGACCTAATCTCACAAATGGTCTCCGCTTCTAACACTCTGTTTTGGGCTCAGCTTCCTCACACGAACAGTCCCAGTGAGAGATGACATCTAGTAGCAGTGATAACACAGACAACACAAAGTTAGCTCTCCTCAGTGCCGTCTCCACTGCTTCATCCGACTGCCTTCTCTGGTTCATAACATAGACTGTATACTTAAGATTGGACATAGTCGGGGCGCCCTGGTATCTCACGTGGTGGCGCTGATCTGCGGCCTTCTGCTGCGTGATCAGTTAAGGCCAAAAGCCATAGTCTCTGTGATGTAACCCAGAGGTTTTTGAAGAGGCTCTAGCTGCAACCATATTGGCAGTCCTGACTCTGCCAGCTTCCGGCTAATCTAAAAATGGGCAAAGAAATGGAGCATTGGTAGAGGCGGGCTGAATGAAGTCCGGATACTGAAAACAGCCACCGGTGCCGGCACCTACCCGTCACTCAAAGTGGCCATTCCCTTAATTATGCATAACTTTCCGCCTTGATATAATTTAAACAGGTGAATTATATAAAAATTCACCCACCTACAGTTGTCATGAACTGGGAATTTAGCTATAGAGACCAAAACTGTTTTTTTGTACCAGACTGTAAACATGTTTATATCTGCTGACGTGGCTGTTTGAGGAACCGCAGTATTTCGTTACTTCCGTGTTGGCTTCATTGGCCAGCCGTGGAAATTGCAGCTTGATTGATAAGTAGCTTTACCAGTCACCGGTTGTTTCAGAGAATCTTTTAACGCTTAAAAAAATGACACTCTCACAGGTTCTGTAAAAAGAGAGCGCAGTGTTAAAATATCTGTACTGCATTTAAAAAATACAATTGGTTGTTGAGGTGAGAAAATTTATAAAGAACATCAAATGGTTGGCTCACATTGAGTCTTTAATCAACAGAAGTAATCCTGCCAGCGTGTTGCTTTCAAGAAGCAGGAAATTAGGCTGATTATATTCCTCACAGCGAAGGAGAACCAACAGTGACACTTGGTCGTAGTCCAAACCTCGACTTTAATCACCGTCTGCTCTCTGTCTGTCAGGTCCACAAGTTCAACAAGGAAGAGAGATGCAGCGGGGAACATTCCCAGTCAGGTAACTTACCACACCATATTTTGTAATTGGACAGGTGTATTTTTTTATGTAAAACCTTCTATTCTAGAATAGCTTGATTTAGTTTGTAATCCTGTGTAATGCCATTACATTTAAATTACAGAGCTAAGCTATGGAGCCCAGAAAATAACAAAATAGTGTAAAGGTCAAAAGTATAACTGATATTTAAATGGATTGTAGATATAAAGCTTTATACTATTCCTTTTAATAAACACTTGAAATGTCCTTGTATCTATGTACAATTTACAATGACTGCATTTTGGTGTGTTATAAATAATTAAATGCTTATATAATGCTTAGAAATGCCAAATAGGGAGATTTCGGGTAAAGGTTTTTTTCAAGTTATGACTATTCTTGAAAGAGGTCACTCTCCTTACTCAGTTTTAAAAAATGAGCAAGGACATATGTAATTTCTGGCCACCTGGATAGGAAATTACAAGTGGGGAATTTTTCTTTATCAAGCAGCAGACAGAATATCTTTTAAACCAGATGGTTAGAAAGGTATTTGAGGATAGTGGAAATACATCTGGAACAGTGGTAAGTGTTGTTAACTGACTTCTGGGTTGTTTAAAGATTGCCCAGTATTCATTTATTCTGAAAAAAGGAAGATTACAGTAGCTCTGTGGCTCTAATGATAATACATTAGTAGGTGGGACCTGGGGCAAGATTTAGAAGTAACATATAACATCTTTGAAATTGAGACTCACCTATAACGGTATAAATCTGCACCTCCATCAGTCTAAACATAAGGGACATTTAATGTACATTACTTCCCTCTGCCCCTCCACAGAGTGCCATTCTCTACGTCACCGGGACAGGAGGAAAGATTCAATTGACGCCAGATCGCTCAGCTCTCGTGGTAGTGACGGTAAGACCATTCAAAGCACATTATCTTTTATTTGAGGCCCTGTTTGAAATGAACAGAGCTCCAGTTTGTGTCGTTGTGAAGGGAAGATGAGCGGGAGGGGCAGGTGGGGAAGGAGGATGAGATAACTGCAATGAGAATACAGTAAAGGCAGAAACACAAAGAGATGATGAGAATGGGGAGATGACGGCAGTGAGTCAGACTGTGTTATGGTACTTGAACTAAAGAGAGATGCTGTGGGCTGATGACATTACGTACCTCCCTCCTCGACTCGCTCTGACACAGCTGCTGCTATTTACAGGTATCTCAGCTGCTTCTCCTCTGCTTTGTTCTCTCTTCTTCAATCAAACCACTTTTCTTTTTTCGTCCTCCGTTGCCCTTTATATTAACATTTGTTCTACATTAACATTTTCTTCATTTCCTCTCCTTTTTTGTACATTTGCTATGTCTACTTTCTTTTTCTGCCCTCCATTCGTAAGCCTTTTGATGAGGGCTAACAATTGCAGGCCCTGTGATCTATTCAGTATTAATGACGTTAATTAAAGGTCCAGTGTGTAACATTTTGGAGGATCTATTGGCGGGGATGGAATATAATATTCATAGGTGTTTTCATTAGTGTAAAATCACCTGAAATAAAGTATTTTTTATCTTAGAATGAGCCATTTTTATCAGTGAATGGGTCCTCTTCTATAAGAGTCCAACATTTAGAACCACCATGTTGCTACAGTAGCCCAAAGCAGACAAACCAAACACTGGCTCTCACGTTTTTCGTGAGTTTTGTAGCCACCGTAGTTTCTCCTACAAACTTGGAAGGCAAACAGTTATGCAGTTGGTGGCAACTGGTGGCTTCACTGCCTCTAAATCCTACACACTGGTCCTTTACTAGACTGTACGGGCTGACAATCAATGAGCCACACTGTCATAAACGTAACATTGTTGTTTTCTGCATTGTAGCTCCCAGTTTACAGAATCGACGATACTCCTCCGTCGCCAGGATTCACTCCATGACTATCGAGGCTCCCATCACCAAGGTATGCTGCTTTCAGGTCCCACTCAGAGAAAAAATAATGGGGAAAAATTTGGAGAAAAAAGTTTCCTTTTGGGCCCAAACGATACAAAAAACCCACACAAATGTTTCATTATTAGCCTCTACTAAATAAGGATGTGTATTTACAATTAAAGTGGACTTTTAGTAATCTGTAAATTCTTTTTTTTTAATTTATATTCTTAACTATTTAAGTGAAATAAAAGACCATTATTAATTACACACATTATTAATTAATTACAATTTTATGAACAAGGTATATGTATAAAGCCTTAGAAAAACATTTTACACATAATCTTTGTCAAACTAAATAGAACTTATTCATCTATTGGTGCAACAGCTTAACAGCTTTTTAGGTGATCTTCTTTTTGTGGCTTTCTACAAACCATTGCTGCAACTGTAATTGTGCTTAAATCTGCCTTTGTTTCATCATTATTAGCAGGGTCAGCGGCATGTGGATTTACCAAATTCACCATCATTGTGTTTTCATTGAAATCTTAAAAATGTCTGAAAAACCAAACTGATATAATAATAATAATAATAATAATAATAATAATAATAATAATAATAATGTTATCAAATATACAATGCAATAATAGTTTATAATACTGACAATAGTCTATAGTCACAAAATGACTATACTATATAATTTCTACCATTAACATCTCAACCAATTAGTTGACCTGGTTTATGAATTTACATCATTTTATATCATCATATCAGCGACGGCAGGTTGAGTTAAGTACAAGTTCAACAAGGGATCACAGCTCAAAATGTTCCAAATCGCTGAGAACAATATGAAAGGGTTAACTATCATCTGCAGGGGCCGTCTTCCACTGAACAATCCTTTATGCAAGTTATGCCTGAAGCACTTTAAAACACAAAGTTTCTTCCAGTGTAGGAGTCACTCAGCAGAGCTCATTCATCCACCAGCGATCATCAGGTTGCACATGTTGGATTTTCATCAAGATTTAAGTTCTTTTATGGCCCATCACCAGGGAGATTCTATTCTAGCCACTTTTAAGCTTTTTGGTATATTGTTCCAACACCATATAGCCAATCAGCGGCCATTAGAGCTGCCCTTTCAGCCTTCGAGTTGTTCGACTGAGCCAATAAAGGAGGTCTTGCCCTTTGCAAGATGCACCAAAACACAACCCCCATCCCAGTCCAGTCTTTCACAGCAACTGTACATAAAGACAATTTTAAGGTACTAGTACTTTAATTGAGCGTTGCCATTTTCTGCTACTTTATACTTGTACTCTACTACAGTTCCTCTACATTTACATACAGCTATAGTTACCAGTCAATTTGATGATTAAGATGTTTACACTCAAAACACAGAACTTAACAAATAACTTCAATAAAATTGTTAATATGAAAATACAACAGAAACTTTCCTCTTTCAGCAGACGAATTTGAAAACATCCTTCTGGTGTCAAAATCTGCCCATACAATATACTGCACAGTGAAGCTCAAACATCCAACTGTAGGAACAAGACTGGAGGGGGACTTTATTCCAAAACAGTAGACTGAATATTCAACTTTATTGCAAATGCTGTATTTCTTTCAGATTAAGTTTCAGTAAAAGAAACACCTCATTGTTTCTGTGCATTCTAGGAAGCTACATTTCTTAGGATTGTTTACAACATGGTACATGATGTTGCGAAAGATGTCTTTGGATTCATTGTTCCACGCCACTATTTACAGCTGATGTCAACATCAGGGGATTTTTTTAATATTGCAAACATCACATTTAAATGAAAACATTTAGATGTGTTTTGGTGATCGAGCTGCGATCTCTGAATCCTCCATGACCCTACTGTGATGGTGTGAAGGTGCTCAGAGCAACAATAAATGCAGGTCAGGCTGTAGGCTGGTAATATACAGAATACAGTATGTCACATTGTGTGCAGGTCCTGTGATGCTCTTGTGTGTCTGAGAAGCAGCTTTATTTAGCTGTTTTGCCCCAGACAAGGTTTCTCCAGCATCACATGCACATCTCCATGACACATGCACAAAGAAAGGAGCACTCTGTCGCTGTGTGTCTTGCAGAGGGCTCTTTGTGTGTGTGTTTTATGCACTGTATTGCAGCAGAATAGGGACATTTTTATTTTTCCCCTTCCCCAGGTAATAAACATCATCAATGCAGCCCAGGAGAGCAGTCCGGTAACGGTAGCCGAGGCTCTGGATCGCGTGTTGGAGATCCTGAGAACTACCGAGCTCTACTCCCCTCAGCTCGCTTCCAAAGAAGACGACCCCCACACCAACGACCTGGTCGGGGGGCTCATGAATGTAAGAGGCAGCGTTGATGTGTGCTTAGGGAGTAGGGATGAGCGAGTACACTATCTGTATCTCAATCAAACTAAATTATCTGTATAATAGGAATAGGCGGGGCTTAACCCAGAAGTGGGCGGGGTAACTGGAAAGCCTGAAGTTGATATGGGTTGATCAGAAGTGTATATTTATTAGAAAAATATCTGCAGACATAAATTGAAATAAAAGTTACTTTTTACTTGTTTGATACTCGTACTTGACTACTAAAAGTATTTAATCTGTACCGGATGCTCGTTTCGTACTCGGCTCAACCCTACATTTGAGTTCATTCATTAGTGTACATGCTTGGAGCTCTTTATAAGGAGAGGTTAGAAATAGTCTTTTCTTTAATCACATTTTTAAAATGTTCTTACCTCATGTGTATGAAATTGAACATGCATTCTTGTTGAACCAAGAAATTTTTGGCTTCCAAAATCAAATCAATGCCAATTAGAGTGCCAACAGAGTCTTTGTTTATTTTTTTATTGTTTGATCTGTTGAATAAGAACAACTATGAGGTGAGTCACTGCACGCAAATGTTTGTCTTTCCGAAAAAACAGTTGATTGTCTTTTTTTGTTATTTTTTTCATAGAGCTCAATTGTTGTCCAAAAACTCTTTATAACACATCAGTGAGCCACACCGTTGCACTGGGTTCCTTCATTACAATGAACACACACTGTAGTTTATTTTGACTCAATCCCTCATACACTGTCACTGCACTATTTGCTCCTGTAACTAGTGTTTTACCCTTTCTAAAGATGTTATTAGTGAGCTATTTTTTTAAGATTTACATCCTCAGAGAAATGGGCTTGAGGCTGAGAGCCACTGACAGGGTACAGACAAATACTGTTGGTTTTTGTCCTTTCATGGGGTTTGTTGATGATAAATAAAAATAGTTATCAATTTTCCCATTACTAAAGATTTGTGTTTTTCAGGAAATGCAAATGCAAGTAAATGGAACTAAAGCCATTAATGGAGATGTGTTATTAGCTTTAGATGAACCAAAGGCCACTCAATGTTTTCCTATTCTATTCTGTATTTTTCAGTTAATTAAAACATTTCTTGTTTTTTTCTTTCTCTCCAGGATGGGCTGCGGAGACTCTCTGGGAATGAATATGTCTTCTGTAAAAGTACGTTTTCAAGAACCAATGAATTATCACATTATAATAGTGATTGTGTCTTAATATAACGCAATAGGAGAAGTACTCTGATATTTTCTTGCTGTGTTAGATGAGAGGATCGATACCACTCTCATGTCTGTCCGTTAAATATGAAGCTAGAGCCACAAGTTAATTAGTTTAGCCTAAAGACTGAAAGGAAGAGGAAACATTCAAGAATATCTCTAATGCTCGCTAATGAACGCATTATATTTTGTGTGTTTCATACACAAACATGATGTAACTATTTCCAGGCGACCAGTGGCCACGCACAGTGACTTTGGAGAAAGCCAGGCTAAACGTTTCCACCTGCTTCCAGTCTTTATGCTAAGCTAAGCTAAGCTAAGCTAAGCTAAACAACTCCCAATTGTAGATTCATATTTAATGCACATATATGAGTATTATCGATCTTAAGGTACTACCTTTCTACCTTTTTTCCAAAAAGTCAAGCAATTCCTGCAGTAGTAGGTTCCTAGAGGTCGAGGTGGGATGTAACAAAGTACACAACTACTTTTACACCCTACATTTTACACAAATATCTGTACTAGTCTTTTTTTTTTTACAGTATCTGTACTTCTACTTCATACATCTACACTAATTCACTTCAGCCACAGAAATGTTCTGTTGCTCTGATTCCTGATGAACTGAAATGAAAGAATCACCTTGTCAATGCCAAAACAACCCAGAGTTAAGGGAAGGGACACAATGGGGACTATTACTGCCATGTTTTCAACAGTGAATACACAACTGCGTCATGTATTTGGTTTCGCAATTACATTAATCGCCATTCTGTGTACGAGCCAACTAGTTGGATCAAACTGTAAGACAGAGGAGTAATCCACTGAACATTGCAATTTATGTGACATAAAATAACATTCAATTAAACCATTATGAGTATTAAGAGCAATTAGGAAAATATGATCCCTTTTAAGCAGAGCTCTGACAATGACTTACGCTCCGTCACAGGTTCACGCTCTATAAGATGAAAAAGACAAACAGTTTTGAGTTAATGATAATGAGTTAAGAAGCTGTAGGAGTACTGGCGTTTTAGCCTGAGGCCTTCATCATCGCAGAGATTATGAAACATTAGGTCTGCTGCCCTGATTGAATGTCATGAATAAATATTAAGTTTAAGGTGGTAATTGTCATGATGAAAGCATTACAGTGTTCCTGTAGCTTTCTAGAGTGTTGTTTCTTCCATCTGAGTTTATTATGTAACCCCTGTTATAATGATTAAAGTTCCAAGAGCACTTAACTGAGAGAAGATCTAAATCAGAGCGTCTCATACAATTATTTAAACAATGTTATCACACACCATCTTTCTACCACAGTCTCAAAGGACCAGATTTACAGAGCGAGACACTTAACCAGTATGTTTGCACAGGTATATAGATATAGGAGCCAAAACTGGTACAGCCATTTATTATTTATCCATGAAATCCCACACAGAGCTCCCTCTCAGTTTGCCCCTTTTATGGTCAAATCACCTTGAACTGCGTATGTGTCTATCTGCTAGATATGAGCCAGAGCCAGCTGGCTATCCCAGTCACTCTGAATGACGTCCCTCCATCCATCGCCAAGATGCTGAATGATGAGGAGTGCTGGGAGTTCAACATCCTGGAGCTGGAGGCAGCGACACACAAGAGGTACAGAGGTGGTGGAAACTGAATCATTGCAGCCAGAAACCCAGTTTCATGGGTTCAGAAAAGTCCATATATTGCTTGTTGCATGGTAATCATTTTATTTAGTTTTCACTCCAGCAGTTGGTTGAGTTGTTACATTACACTTATTTTGCATCCTCAAAATTGGCAGTTGATATTTTCTTACCTTCAAAATGTGACAAAATCTATTATTATTAAAAATATAGTTCAAGATTTAGGGAAATATGCTTATTCACTTCTTGCTGAGAGCTGGATGAGAAGAAACTCTATTGTGGTAAATATGATGCTTCAGCAAGCAGCCGGTTAGCTTAGCTTAGCATAAAGACTGGAAACAATGGCAACAAGACTCCAGGAAGTCACTGCACCCCGCCAAGAACAGAAATTCACCTTGAAACCACAAATTAACCAAACAAGATACCCATGGGCAGAGTCAGGCTAGCTGTTTCCCCCTGCTTCAAGTCTTTATGCTAAGCTAAGCTAACCATCCCTGGCTGTAGCTTCATATTTAACATACAGACACAAGAGATTACCCTTCTCATCTAATCTTTTGGCAAGAAAGCAAATTCCACGCACAGAAATGTTCTCATATTTCTAAACTGCAGCAACTCAATATATGTCCTCAAATTGTGCAAAAAGAGAATTTAAAGTAGATGAGGATGCAGGAAGAACGGATAACAAATAAAGGTATTGTGTAAAGGTTGGGAAAACATTGATTCCAAGCGCTCTTGCTGTTTAAACTTGTGCTGTCCATTCAGCCAGTTTTTTTTGGGTTTTTTTGTGATCCCCTGCAGACCGCTGACTTACCTCGGGCTGAAGATCTTCACCAGTTTCGGTGTGTGTGAGTTCCTGAACTGCTCGGAGGCCACGCTGCGCTCCTGGCTGCAGCTCATTGAGGCCAGCTACCACGCCTCTAACTCCTACCACAACTCCACACATGCCGCAGACGTGCTGCACGCTACTGCCTACTTCCTACGCAAAGAAAGAGTCAAGGTTAGAAGAAAAATTCTTATTTGGAATGACTATATTTTTCTAAAACGTGCAGGCGCTCTAGAGTGATACAGTATTGTTATACTTGCTGTACAGTGAAATAAATATTGTGCATTATTGTGCTATTTTAGTCACACAGGGAAATTTTCCAGTCGGAGACACTTGATACAGCTAGATTTGGCTAAAAAAGGCTCAGCTCTTTGAGGGAGCGTTCAACGAGCAGCATCACGGACTTTGCTGGGGGGAATAATTCCGCTAATAAACATGAACAATAAGATAAAATAAGATATACTGACCACACAGGAACAATCAAATGTCACAGCGGCAGAAGTAATTAATATGCACTGATAAGAAATCTTTAAAAAAGAGAGAGAATATTCTATGCATTATGAACAGCTGATGAACAAGTCACTGATGATAAAACATGAATTAAACGGCTATTAATGCGAGTGAGTTCAGTGAACCAATGATTTGCTCCATTAGTTGCCTTACTCATGATGTTCTTACTGTAAAAGCTGTATAATACAGAGATCCTCATATATTCAGCATTTATTGTCATTAAGTAAACATTTGCTTTACATTGGATACAATATATTAATTATAACAAGAAATGCAATGTCTTACAAGACATGTTTTCCTAGTATTCATTATATTTAACATTTAATGCCTTTCATAGCTTCCATTGGTTATTTCAAGGAAAATAGATGTATAATAAATAATTCATGTCTGAATTAAGGGATCCCTCCTCTGTTGCTCTCCCTGTGGTTTCCTGTTAAAGGCTATATAAATGACAATGAAATTGACTTGACTTACCCTATATAGCTTTTATCCATTCCAAAACAGTACTTATAAATCGTTATAAAACACGATTCTGGATCATGCACACTAACAAGGCACCGAAATGAAAAGTAACTCCTTGTGATTCTGTAAATTCCACTTTTGGTTGCTGGACTTGGATACACGTGACATACATATAAATTATTAGATGCATACAAATTGATTTATACATTTTATGAACCACTGTATTTGAATAAAGAATCATACCATGGAATATACTGTGTGACAAGAAGGATGAAATACTGTACAAAAGAGGCGTCTTCCTCACTAAAAGCCATGATATGACCTAACTAACAACAAGATACTGCTGCAAAATGTCAAAGATGTAACATACATTACAGGGATTATTTACTGGCTCTGTATGGAACCTACTTTATTGGCACTGTCATCCCAAACAGACCCCAAAACCAGTCAATAAGTGTGTTTAATCCATTCTACAGATGGATCTATTAACAATATATTTATTAAAACTAAAAAGTAAACAAGTAACAGTGTATGTGCAGTCCAGTACTGACATCACTCTGTGTCTCTGCTGTTTCCTTCAGAGCAGTCTGGACCAGCTGGATGAGGTGGCGGCGCTGATAGCGGCCACAGTGCACGACGTGGACCACCCGGGCAGGACCAACTCCTTCCTGTGCAACGCCGGTAGCGAACTGGCGATCCTCTACAACGACACAGCCGTGCTGGAGAGCCACCACGCGGCCCTCGCCTTCCAGCTCACCGTCCGAGACAGCAAGAGCAACATCTTCAAGAACACAGACAGGTCGGTAGTAGCAGCTTGTGCTTGCTTTGTGTTCATAGAATAGCTTGTGACATTATATTGCTTTGGTGTATTGGTATAAGAGAGATCTTTCTTACTTTATCCGTTTCACTTCTGACAGGAATCAGTACCGAACACTGCGACAGGCAATAATCGACATGGTGTTGGCGACAGAGATGACCCGACACTTTGAGCACGTCAGCAAATTTGTGAACAGCATCAACAAGCCGATGGCTGCCATAGAAGAGACCAGCACAAGTGTAAGTGCGGCTGGACTCAGTGTGTTACATTTTAAGATTCAACATCTTCCAGAAAGGATGGTCACGGTTTATTTTACAGGTCTGATATCCTAATCTTTCCTGGAAAGTTTACTGGAAAGAACTCAAACTGCAATTTGTTACTGATTATAGGGGAAAGACGGAGACAAAGCGCTCTTGAGACTGGTTTAGTTACTGGGTATTCAGTGGTGAATTTCCTTGAAATCCATTCAACAGTAATGATGTTTTATTTGTATAGCATGTATCAAAACCAGCGTTATAATTCGCCTTACAACGAACACATAAAACACAGCAATAGAACACACAGTAATGTATTAATAAACGGGAAGGCATAAGGAATAAATAGATAAAACATTAGGGATAAAATGAGAAATAACTGGTGAATTTAAACTAAAAATAGAAAATAAATGCAAGTGCAATGTCAAGAATAAAGTAACATTTATTTATAATAGTGACACTAATGTAGCAAACCAGAGTAAATATTAATTCAGTATCATTTCTTATTTGAGAGTGTATTCTCCGTATATGTTGAATTGTAAGTTTGCCTGTGAATAAAATTCTGCACATTCAGTTGACCTAATATGCACCGTCTAAAGATTGTGGGTGCCATAGCAACTAAGTGGAATTAATTAATTGGAAATCTATGAATTGAAAACTGCCTCTGTTGTACCCATAATTCATGCTAAATTACATGGAAATTGTAATAAATTTAAGGACATAAAAAGTGTCACTAAAAGGGCTGCCAATGTGTCTCAGTAAATGTGTGTACGAGCAAATATTCACTGAATGCATGAACTCTATTTCTGTATGTGCAGATGCTTATGTCTTTCGTGTCCCATCCTACAGAGCGTGAACAGCGACTGTGACGGTCAGGCCAACATCAGGAACTCTCCGGAGAACCGTCTGCTGATAAAGAGGATGTTGATCAAGTGTGCAGATGTGGCGAACCCCTGCAGACCGCTCGAGCTCTGCATCGAGTGGGCTGGACGAATCTCTGAGGAGTACTTTGCGCAGGTGTGCACAGCTCAGTTTAATACCACGAAGCAGTTAAAAGCTGAGAACAGCGCTGTATCTGTAAAGGGATGCAGATATTTGTTTCTTTAGATCATTCTCATCATCTCCCTTTGCATAATATATTCACATTTATGGCCTCTCACATTCCGAGAGGCAGATTTAGCTTGAGCTTTTGCATTTACCTTCTCTGCTGTCACTTTATTGTGATCTCTGTGTGTGTTTGCCCTGCAGACGGATGAGGAGAAGAGACAAGGGCTGCCGGTGGTGATGCCAGTGTTTGACAGGAACACCTGCAGCGTGCCCAAGTCTCAGATCTCCTTTATAGACTACTTCATCACCGATATGTTTGATGCCTGGGATGGTAAGAACATTTTCTCTGCTGTGTACTCTGCTGCTCTCTGTACTGTTTGTTTCTCTATGTGCGTGTGTGGCAAAGCTTTACTGTGTATGTGGTGTGTTTAGTCATTTCCTTTTCCACTTGCACACAATTTCCAAGTAAACTAGTGTCTCTGAAAATATATGGTATTCACACAGGAACTATACATATTCAGTCTGATTGTTTTAGTAAAAGGTCACGAATCATAGTTTGAATCAGACAGGCTACTTCCCAAGCTTAAACCTTTACTTAAAAGGAACCTAAGCACTTAAAATGTCTGATGTCTGTTCTCAAGTGCATTTATTCACATCCTCAATTAATAACACAAGCTTCCTCCTTTAGTCCAAGCTCTTTCTGTAGCTCCTCCAAAGTTTAAGTTAAGCGATTGAGCATGAAAGTTCATTCTAAGTGGAAATTTTTTGGAATAACCCCTTGAGATGTACAATCTCAGTTTCAAGGGAGTCATCAACGACAAAAAGCACTATACACCATTACTAGTAAAAAAAAAAAAAACAGTAAATATCAGAGACAATTTCAGTGACAATATCAAGACAAAATCTGAGGATCATACTCAAGGCAGAGCATGAAAACGTGATTATTAATTCATAGTTTAGAGTAGTGGTTTTAATGTTAGAGAAAGCATTAAGTAACAGAGTTACAATACATTCTTAAAAACATTGGTTTGACAATAAAACTGTTCCTCTTACAAGCTTTTTTGGGACTCTTCAACCACATCTCAGCCATCCTCGGCAAATGGAGTTTGTTCAGATTGTTAACAAAAATACAGACGCAATTGATCAAAGCTTGTGAATTGACCTTTCCTTTAACATGCGTTCCATTTCATTTGTGACTTTAAACTACATTTTTATCCCCAAACAAACTTTACAGCAGTTGTTGGCCATCGGCAGCAGCAGCAAGAGGAAATCCTTGGCATCACTTAACACCACAAAACAGAAGGCGTATTAGCATCTTAAGACATTTCTAAACCCGATGGTTTAAAGGAACATGAGATTCCTGATGGTCATAACTTTTATTAAGCAGAAGCTTTTCTAATTAATGTTTTTCTGCTCAAAAGCAAACGTTTAACATTATTGGTATGAAACAGAAAATCCTAAAGGTAAAAAATATGAATGAAACCAACCACATATTCACACACATGCTGATGTTTGGCAGGATATGCTCATCATCTTGTTAGCATGCTATTTGATCACAGGAACTTGATTTAGGTATTGGACAAAAGGATCAGAGGATAACCAGTTATTACAATTCACCCTGAAGGGGATATAGTATTTATATTGTCTATAGAACATTACATTACAACATTTCATGGCAAACCATTTAATAGTTTCACTCTGAACCAGAAATGATGGTGGTTCTCACCAAAGCCACATGTATCCTCTATCCCACACACAATGTATCCCCTTATCACCCTAAACATCTGCACCAAATTTCATCACAATCCATCCAATACTTTTCAACATGTCTGACTAAAAACCAAAAATGTCAACCTCGCGGCGGCATGAGAGGAAATGTCACTAAAATCAGCTGACTGATCAACTGCCAGATTTACTTTGGGGACTTCCATTATTGCTAATAAACAATTGAAGCATTTGCTTAAATAGTTCCCCGGAAACGCCCAGTGAGTTTCCAGTGAAGCAGGAAGTAGGCTGGTTCATGATCTCTAAATCACCGACCGCATTTCTGATTTGACTATCAGGATAAAACAGAACTTCATACATTCAGATCGTCACTCGGTGCTTTCCTGGTAGATTGCGGGATAGGAAATTACAGGAAAGGGATGAGACTGAGGAGGAGCCAAGAGAAGTGGGAAGGGATAGCACGGTCCTTAAAGCTCCCCATTCCCACTGCATTTCCCTTTTAGTTTAGTCTCCCCAAGAGGGAACTTGTTTACTGTCAACACTGCTCTGATGTCATGGAAAGATTCCAAATGCCAGTGGGACAGAGAGAAATTGCGAGGGCGTCAGGGGAGGGGAAGTTGGGAAAATAGTAGAGGGGATGGGGGTTTATGATCTCTCGGTTCGGAGAGGGATGAGCAGTCGAGCAGAACTTCACTAACACACAAACACTAAAACACACATGCATCCGCTCTCAATTCACCAGGGTCACTGTCGGGATCAGTGTTTAGTTCCACAGATGCAGCGCGGGTCATCCACAAACCGGAAACGGGCAAGTAAACAACACAGGGTCGTGCACTGAGAACACACACTCTGCAGACCAAAAGCTGTGTGTGAGAGAGAAACGCAGATTGACATTTGACCTCAGAAGTCCTTTTATGTGGGAGCAACATTGCAGAGTGTACATAACATCAGCCACTGTACATGAACCACACACACACACACACACACACACACACACACATCTTCCTGTCTAATAGTTCATGTGGAGTGATAATAGAAAGTTTCTGATAGCAGGTGTGTCTAGCCATTTGCCATTTTACCACAGTTGTTTGCCCTTGAAGTGTATACGTACAAAATGCCTCTGCCACTAGACGTCGCTCCATTGACATTGACTCCATTTTAATGTAAACCTGTAATCTTAAAACACACAGAAGCTAAATAAAACTCACCAAAACCATCTTTGTTAGTCTTTCCACAGTCTTTCCAACAATCACCCATTCTGGTTCTCTCACCCCAACTGGTCGAGACAGACGACCACCCACCTAGAGCCGAAGGGTCTGTCCTAGGTTTCTGCCTTTTAACAGGCAGTTTCTCCTTGTTGCCGTCGTCAAGTGCTTGCTCATGGTGGTACTGTTGGGTCTCTGTAAATGTTATAAGGAGTTCGGTCTAGACCTGCTCTATTTGAAAAGTGTCCTGAGATAACTTCTGTTATGAATTGGCGCTATACAAATAAAATTGAATTGAATTGGTTGGTTTGATATAAACCTTTAATTCAGATGTGAAAACAGCCACGAAATGGGCTACAATGGCTGCCATGTAACGTTATCTTATCCTTGGACATGTTCGCCTGTTAAAGTACGTCCAATAAAACTGCTTGTTTTTGCCACTGACAGGCTCAGATTGTTCTTTAAAGTGTCTGACAAAATTCTGGAAAGGATCCCTACAGAGAGAGATCTTTTGTTTAACCAGAAACAGCCATAATATCGCTATCACCTTACACCAGACTCCATAGACAAAAACTTTTACCTCACATCACATCAAAACTTCATTCAGAGTGGACAGAAACAAAATAAAACTCATCAAAACCATCTTTGTTAGGTATTTATTTTGACCAAACCAGAGTTGGTGATTGTTGGAACAGTGAAAATACTAATTCACTGCCGTCATTGAGGAAAAACAGCAGTCTCGCTTCCCTCAGTTGTACACGGTGGGACTAACATGCAGACGTGGCCAGACCAGATTTGTAAACAAACCACAGAGTGGCTGCCTTATGAAGGTATCTCTTCAATACCAGTATGAACAGGAGGAATGATAAAGGCTACCAAAACAGTTTTAATGTACATGTGGTCGTGTGAGTCTCATATTAACACAAATCTGTGTCCATGTTTGCTTTATCTTAACCCAACCGACCGTTTCTGCTTCCCCCCTCAGCCTTCGCCAGCCTGCCTGGTCTCATGGAGCACCTGTCAGAGAACTACAAGTATTGGAAGGGCTTGGACGAGATGAAGTGTAAGAGCCTGCGTCCTCCACCTCCTTCTTGACCGACTCCTCGTCGCCTCCTCTCATCCATCACTCCGAGCAGGGCAGGACAGCGAATGCAGCCCTGCGGTGGAACAATTAGTCTCTCCAACTGTGATTCGACGGAGCTCTGTGCCCTCCCAGGCGCCCCCTCACCCCGGACACAACCCAACGCTGGGCAATCGGGGACTCTGAGAGCAGACATCACTGACTGATGGACACATGAGATGCTGTTTCAATCTCAAATCACAGCCTCTTTTCTAGCGTAGTTCTCGGTGGAGGTGGTGTTCTGCCAGTGGAGAACAGGTTGTCATTTGAGGGCCCCGTCGACTCTCTTTTGCCACTTTATGGCCCTGTTAAGTATTCCTAATAGCACCTGTGAGGACCTCGTGGCTCACCTGACAATCTGTACCATCCAGTGTAACACACCAGAAACCTGCACTTTAGCTAATCAAGACATTTTCATTTTGAGCTCCCTCTTGCTATTTTTGCTTTTCACCGTTTTTTCCTTAGTTTTCTCTCATTCTGCATCCGTCTGTTGCTGTAAAAGAAACACGGTGAATCAGATGGTGACCAAAGCTAGAAGCACTGACTGAAAATAAGTACCAAGATGGATCTGTTCGTGTGTGTGTGTCCTCAAAAGTCCCTTTTTCAAATCACCAACTTGTGAAGGTGCTCAGCTGGAATTATTCATTTTTATGAGCTGTGATACGGTCTACAGTATGAGAGACACTTTGACTTGTGTCTGGGACCAAATGCTAAGCAATCCATGCCCCTGTTTGGCCACATACAGAAAGAACTTGTAGGAAAGATTTAAGGAAGGGCAGAGCTCCAGAGGCGGTTAGCCAAGTACCAGGGTCCAACCAGAAGGGGAGAACCAGCCAGCACACAGGTTTTCTAAATGTCCAGCCAGGGGACATCCAAGAAGGGCTTTGTTTGTGATGATTGCTGAATTTAAGGATCACGTAGCTGGTGGTGAAATAACTCACCCAAAAATCTACTGTTATGATATCTTCCTCTGCATTAATGTTGTCAGTGAAGATCTTTGTCAAACTTGTATGTCAGAACAAATGGGGGAACAGAATTGCACTGTATCAGAGCTGTTTAAGTTAAGCAGTTATACTTTCAATGAACAATAACATCAGATGTTACACACTTAGCTTTGTGACACTAACTGTAGACATTTGCACCCAAATAAGAAGAAACAAATCAGACTTGTAGTGTGGCTACACTGACTGTTGTATGGTGCACAAACTGTGCAAAGCTAGTGTCAAAGTAGTGAGTTGTAAGCTTTGTTGGACCTCACAGATGTATGAAGGAGCACCAGATCCATGTTTGGATCCAGCTTGTAAAAACAGCAGCTGCAGAGCCAGCGTCTGCCTGCTTCTAACACTAATCGGCTCCACTTCTCACATGGTTTCTGTTAAACCAATTTCACTGTATCTCAGAATCCTGCAACTGCAATTCACCTTGCAGTCATTTGGCTCTCTCTTTTTTGGGAGAAATCTAGCTTGCACATGATTTTCAAATTATCTGGATTCAGAGGAAATAGACTGAAAAGGCCATCAGATAATATTTGTATGATGTGTCTGCCCTCTGGTGGCTACACAGAGGCATTGCAGTAGTAGTACACAAAATCTAATGGTGACTCATTTGTCAGATACAATCTACAGGAAATTGCAGCACTGTGACTCTGTGATATAAAAAACTACGATTTATCAAAAGCAGAATTTCTAAAGAAAACTATCTGCTTTAATATTTGAGAATTTAACCAGTATCATCCCTTAGTGTTTCTTACATTTTAACACATGAAGGTGAACCAGTATTGGAAAGCTATATTTCTAGCAGCACACTTAACCCTGCGATATTATTTTATAAAGGAAATTGGACTAAAAATGGCGATTAGTGGTTAAATCTGCAGATGTACATGCTTCAACTACCTGAGCTGCTTTGGTGAAATTGTATAATTTTATTATTATGTATTACCGGTTCTAGTCCCACCTGAATGATGTTCATGAGTGACGTAGGAGGACATCGCTGTGTGTGTACAGTATGTGTGTGTTTAATCCAGGAGACGCACATCGCAGTATTAACCAAAGGCACAGAGAGCTCTTTACCGGTGCCTTATTCTTTGGTCATCTTTACAGAAGAAAAAAAGAGTATTTTTTGGTTGAAATAGTTCCTCCTCTCCTCTAAAGAAAAAAAAAACAAAAAACAGTTGCTAGAAAAGCCATACATGCTTGAGATATTTTTTGAAAAAAAGACTTTAGGTATGTTGCTTTAAGGTCTGTGCTACAGTTCTGAGTTAACTTGGTGAATCAGTGTTAATAGTTGTGTCACAATGGTCCTGACATTTTATCCTTTGTTTCATACAACTATGAGGTTTTTAGAGACTGAATCAGGTGAAGTTGGATCAGATGTGAATTCCACTATTATTATTATTTCAGTTCACTTTAAAGAGAAAACAGGTCACATCTATGTATTCATAATGATATGTAGTCATTTTATTGATGACCCAAGGTCTTAATCAACGCCTTAATCTTGTCATGTCTCAGTGTTTAGGTCTGCTATCGTTGCAATACACTGTAAACTACCTAATGTACCTGCTGTTTTTGTAAATACTCGCCTAATATATCACATTTGCTTTGCATTTTACGTAATTTGCTTATGTAAACGTTTGTTTTGGCTGTTATATGTTGCAGGGGTGTTTTTCCAAAATCTCTAAAACAAAATTTAAATTTTTTTACAGTGACTTGAAACATGGCTCCACCTCTGAATGTTTCATGCTCTCACCGATCACGAGAAGATATTTTTGCTAGTCGATAATGAGAGATTTCTATTCACAAAGACAATTTAAATATTTCAGATTTACATGCCTTTTCTGCGAGCAGCAATGACTGGAATGTGACGATATCAATTAGATCGGATGACAGCAAGTCGCTTAACGCCTCGCTTGCTTTGAGTCAACTGAGGCAGAACCAGATTGTATAACTGCTTGTTATGTAATGATAAGCCTTCATCACTTACAGTGATTTCTATTTCCTCTATTTCCGACACTGATGGCCGTGGCTGCGGACAACGTGCCAATCCTGTGTTGTTTTGTATCATTTATACAGAACAATAATTAGAAAGTGATAATGTTATATACAGTACAAATTATTTTTCAAATAAGAAAAACCATTATTGGCCATGAGAACTGTAATGTGTATTTTGAAAGCTTTTACTGCCTCATGCATAGTATTGAAAAGAGCTTTCCATCAGTCACTTAAAATGTTTGTTTGAAAAGTTAAATTTAGTTTGCTCTCTGGATTATGATGTCTTATTTTGATGTTCTCTGTCAAACACAGAAATGTATTGTGAGAGACAATTAAAGCATTCTTTAAATATGACTTTGTATACATGAATGGCGGTGACACATTTAAAGGACTAGTTTGACATTTTGGGAAATACTCCTATTTGCTTTCAGGTGAAGATCAAGGTCAATACAACTCTCATATCTGTCTGGTAAATATGAAACTACAGGTACTTACAATTGTGCTGGTAGGCAAACAGAAATTTCGGATAGACCCATACCCTGTTTCCCCATTTTTTGCCAAGTTAACAGGCTGCTGGCTGTAGCTTAATATTTAGCAGACGATTTTTCAATTTCTCATCGAACTCTCGCCAAGAAAGTGAATAAACGTGTTTACAAAAATGAAAAAGAATAAAGCAGCAGGTGCAGTGTTCCTCTCAAAGGACAACTAGTGGTCAAGGATCACGACAGGGTTTTTGGCAGATGGGGTGTAAAAAAAAAAAAAAAAAAAAAACACCTAAATCTCTTCAAAGAGAGCTGTGAAACAGGTTTATACACCAAATATGAAGACGCACTGAAATGAGGACTGAGGCAGGTGCTTAGACAGCAGCAGCCAACAAAATGACAGGCCTGCAGCATATGACCCGCAACAGGCAATGTCCCGTACAAGATGTCTGACCTCACATCAGCATCACAGCGCCAAAATACTGCGAGTAACAATAAAAACATTACAAATAGTTTCTGGGATGAGGTATTTTACTTTACACATTTTTACAATTTAAGTTAAATACTGGTTTCAGTGAAAAGGCAAACAACATTACATTATCATTAATGCAAACAATCATGACAGTAGATTCAAATATCTGGCACATACATCAAAAATCAACAACATAAAATCTCTCCTTTTTTTAAGGCAGCAATTCACAGGTGAAAGGTCAGAGGTCACGTCAGAGTCCTCCATTCTCCTCCAGTTTCTGAAAAAGTGCCAGACTGCGCAGGTGCGACTGCCTCTCTCCGTCCTTCCACAGAATCAGCAGGTGGTCCGCCGAGCACGTGACCAAACCGTTTTCCCTAAAGCTCACAAACATCTGACAGAAGAGCAGAAAGGGGTTGTTAAAGTAAACTACAGTGACATCACATCAGAGTAGAAAGTTTGTACACTCATAAAATCATACCTGGACTGCTCCTGAGTGTCCAATCAGATCGCCCGTCAACTCCAGCATCCTGATGTTTGGGACCTCCATGACCTTCTTTGACGGAGGACCACTCTGTTTGTTTGTCCGACCAAAAGTCCACATTCCAAAGAATCCTGGTTTGATGGAGGAAAGAATAATGGATTAAAAAAAAGACAAAAATAATACAATTAAGGGAAATATCTGGCACTTTAGCTGCTAAATGCTCCACTAAGTTCCCCATCTAGCTGCTAACTCTGTCCATCTGCTGTTTGCTGAGCAGGTAGTGTTTAGCAATGCAGTGAGAATGAACCACAGCAGCAAAGTCGCCTCCTTAAAACTAAAACAAAAAAACAAAAGAGCTGAAACTGATATAAAAAAAAGTTTCCTCTAAAGACCATAGGAAATGCAAGTGATTGATTTCTGGTTTCCTGGAAACAGACGATGGACAAATAATTGGCCTTTGGTGATGGGCAGCAAGTGATGTAGCCTGAGTGTACTCTCCAGCCAAGATCTATTCAGAATGACCACAACTCTACACTGACCGCAGACAGCTAGACCATCAAAGACAGCACGACCACACAGACACACACTCAACTTTAGACCACCCCACTTAAGTAGAAAACACAGCCTCTCTGAGTGCTGGTACAGTACACTTTCCTTTGATATACACAATACCACATCTGGACTGCATCACTGCACCGCCCACACATCAAGACACCCAACAACACACACAAAAGTTGAGTGCAGGCAATTTCCCTCACTCTTTGAACTTTATGAGTCATACTTTTGTACACTGCTAATGTAATCCAGTTTTCTTAAGATGGAGAAAATGGGAAGATGGCCTACTTTTTGATAGGACTGCATGTTTGTACTCTGTGTGTGAACTATACGTACCATCAGCACTGTGACATTTAGGATCAGATCTGAAATTGTATGTTTGTGTGTGTGTGTGTGTGTGCCCTGTTATGTATGCGTCACCTGCAGAGGCTGGTTCAGCAGGCAAAGGCAGGTCCTGGATCTCCCACATCCTCACACTGCCATCTTCGGAGCAGGACATCAGCTCACTGAAACAGAGACAGTGTCGCACCGAGAGCTGCTTCAATCACAATGTGTGTAAACTGAGAGTATAGGACATAGATATGGTCCCAGTCTCTTGTCTATTGCAGGAGGTTTTAGTTTGAAAAAGACAAAGCTGGGAAATGCTATTCAAACTAAAGATTACCACACAGAATCATATATTAAATATGATTTATAGAGAAAGTAGAGATCCCAGAGTGCCAAGTTAAGAATTGGTACCTTACTACTAACAGCATTTATGTGATCTTGATGTTGTTAAGGAATGTTTTCATTTTATGTTAGACAGCTTTGTTTTGAGCATTTTAATGAGAAAGCTACAGAACTGTATGCTATGATTTGCCCTGTGATCATCTTGGTTGCGGTTGTCTGACAAGCTGGGCACTATTTTGTGTAAGAAACGAATATAAACCAATCAATCAGTCAGTGTTTTCCATCATAGTTTTTACCCTTTGTAAATAGAAACTGATTGATGATTGATATTTTACAAATAGAGTGCATGCTTGTTGCACTGTTCAGTCTAGTGGTCCCAAACCTGAGGTGCTAGACCCCCACAAGACTCACAAGATAAATCTGATTAGCAGAAAAAGAAAGCAGAATAAAACCAGATGTATGCTACACAAACTATTATTATTTGCTTTCTTGTAAATTACTGAATAATTTTATGTCTTTTAGAAAAACATTCTAATAAAATCTGTCTTTGGTTGATCTGGTCATGGCTGGTAGAAATATGCAACTGACAACAACGGGTCACAAGATCCAATAAGGTTGCTTTGAGCTTTGAGACCACTGCCTCCAAAGCTCATTCATAGTAGAAATCAGTGGCAAATGAAATATCCATCCAAAGAGAAAACTAATAATCTTTTTAAATAAATCATTCTGCAATCCTATTTTTGGGTCACATTTTGGAGAGGTTAGAGACAGGAACTTGTTGGAAAATGTTTGATATATTACCTGTCAGATAACAGCATGGTGTGTAAGATATTAGAGTCATGGGCAACCTTCCTGTAGGCCACCACTGACTTGGTCTGAATGCTGTACACATACAGGCCGCTGCCCACAGCTGCAAGGATGTGCTACAAACCACACAGACATTACATTTCTTTATGGATCACAATAACAAAACAACACAGTAACAGTTTGTCATGATACACAATAGGAACATCCACTCATCCTGTCTTCCTCACCTTTCCGTTGGTGGTCAGATGCTGAATGGACATCTCGCTGGGTTTGGGAGCGGCCAATCGTATTTCAGCCTGAGTGCAGGCTTGTGACTCCTCCCACAGGATGTGCTCATAGGCCAGGATGTTCCAATCAATCGCATCCCATAAGATCAACTCGCCCGCATGGGATCCGCTGGCGAAGAACCCGTCTGAGGAAGATAGACCAAATGCGATTTCTCAATATCTCACAAACTGAATGCAGCCGCTATGATTTTCAATGATGATTCAGAGTTTCTGACAGACTGACCATTGACGTTGATAAGAGCTCGGATCTGGTCCTGGTGGTCCGACAGACAGCGGATCTCAGCCATTGACAGAGAGGAGTCAGTAGAGAAAGTCAGCCTGTAGATCACTGCAGAGAAGGAGAAAAATATTTATATACTGAAATGAATGAACAATCTTGTCATCAGAATCTGTCTCTTACCTATCTGTTTATCCATTGCAGCAGCTATGCAGTTCTTAGGCAGCTCTATCAAAGCAGTTATTCCTGCAAAATGCCAAAAACACAATGACAACATGATCAGTTTGTGTGCAAACAGCAGAGTCAGGGGTGAGTATAGCTGGTGCAACAATTAATTGATAATTAATTAAGTTTGTTGAGACAGTTATTTTCCCCTTTTGTTTCTCCTTACCAGTGTCGCTGTGGTTCTGTTTGTGACACTGCAGCTGAAAGTCTTTGTTCCACACACACAGTTCTTCCCCGCCGGAGACCCACACACACAGCCGCTCCAGCACCAGCAAACACTGAGAGAGAGAGAGACAGCAGCATGAACACACACACACACACACACACACACACACACACACACACACACACACACACACACACACACACACATACATCAATGCACGTAAACACACACACAAAATATCAGCGAAGAAAAGAAATCAAATGTAATTAACCTACAGATGCTGCAATTAACCTTAATCTATGATCAAGACGAGGCAATTACCATTTTTATCTTAAATCATAACTGACAGAACAACCTTTAGTGTCAAACATTTTAATTAGTATGTTACATATCTTGGCAACACAAAGTTAATTGCCCAGAGTTGGATGACATGACTGGAATATCCAAGAAAAATTAATGTGAAGACCCAAGACGTACTTTATACGTTCTTTATATTAGTATGTATGGAGCACTGAGCAAACATTTCTGGTGCTATTTACTGTTATAAAACATCCCTTTTCTTAAAAACTACTCTCTATTTTTGATCTTTAATTTTTAAAGATAAATAGGTTTGCCTGTGTGATGCATAGGAATAGTAAGTAATAAGAGTAGCATCATGACTTTTATGTAAAAGTGACACTTAATCAGACTATGAGACACACGTGCAAAATTGCCATTTATGTAGCAAGGTACATGTTTGAAAGGAGCTTATCCATTACCTTTACAGAAGACTGAAGATCTGAAATGGTCTGAACCCTGTTGCCTGTATCAGGGTCCCACAACTGACAAATCAGATTAAGGAAAATCACAACAAAACTGAACACAACAATTACATATGAGTGATTTGTGTGTGTGTTTAAATATCAGGACGTTTTCTATGTCTTTTTGCTATGAGGATACACTCAGACTTCGATCTGAGGAGGCTGTGAGGAGCGAGGTGTGCGATGTGAGTCC